CACGCCCGGCTGATTTTCTGATTTATTGTAGAGATGAGGTCTCGCTACCCAGGCGGGTCTTGAACCCCCAGGCTCAAGCAATTCACTCACCTCAGCCTCCCAAAGGTGCGGGATTATAGGCTGAGCCACCGAGCCCGGCTGCTATCCTAATTTTTAATAGCATGGATTAATTTTGCCTCTTTTTGGTAATTTTTAATTTTTTTAAGTTGGAGTCTCACTCTGTCACCCAGGCTGGAGGGCAGTGGCCGCTCCCGGCCACCTCAGCCTCAACCTGCTGGGATCCGGCGATCCTTCCGCCACAGCCTTCCAAGTAGCTGGAACTACAGGCGTGCACTACCACGCCCGGCTAGTTTTTTGATTTTATTGTAGAGATGAGGTCTCGAACCTGTGGGCTCAGGCAATCCACTCACCTCAGCCTCCCAAAGGTGCAGGATTACAGGCTGAGCCACCGAGCCCGGCTTTTTTGTGTTTTATAAGAATGGAATTGTATATTACATATTCTTTTGTTTCTGGCTTCTTTCCTCCAACATTATGTTTGTCAGATTCATCCGTATTGTTGTAAAAGAACTTCATACTGAAGTTTAATATTGTGGTGTGTGAACTTATGTTTATCCATTTACCATTGGTGGGCTTTTGGGTAGTGTCCAGTTAAGAATAATGTTGCTAGCCGGATACAGTGGCTCACTCATGCCTATAATCCCAGCACTTTGGGAGGCTGAGGTGAGAGGATTGCCTGAGCCCACGGGTTTGAGACCAGCCTGGGCAACACGGTGAGACCTCATCTCTACAATAAATCAAAAAATTAGCTGGGCGTGGGGGTGTGCATCTGTAGTCCCAGCTGCTTGGAAGGCTGAGGTGGAAGGATGGCCTGAGCCCAGCAAGTCGAGGCTGCAGTGCGGTGTCGCCCAGGCTGGAGTGCGGTGGCATGCTTATGGCCACTACAGCCTCAACCTGCTGGGCTCAGGCCATCCTTCCACCTCAGCCTTCCAAGCAGCTGGGACTACAGATGCACACCAATGTGCCTGGCTAATTTTTATGATCTATTGTAGAGACGAGATCTCGCCAAGCTGCCTAGGCTGGTCTCGAACTCCCGGGCTCAGGCAGTCCTCTCCCCTCAGCCTCCCAAAGAGCTGGGATTACAGACTGAGCCACTGCACCCGGCCTTCTCTGGTATTTTTTAGCTACATCACTACCTGGACCTTAGGAATATAAGAATTGGAAGGCATTAGATATAAAAGTTAATTCCTTTCATTGAACTAAGAGGAAACTGAAGTCCAAAGATGATGGAAAGTTACTTGCCTAAAGTCAAATAATCTCAACAGACACTATACAAAGTAAGGTAGAGGAATGGCCATTAATCACATGAGAAATGCTTAACCTCACTTATCATTGGGAACGTGCAAATTAAAACCACAGTACCTATCATTATACACCTATCAGATGACTCTAATCGAAAAGACTGTAAATGCCAGGTATTGGTGAGGACAGGGCCACTGGAACTCGTATACTTTGTTGGTGGGAATGTAAAATGGTACAGCCACTTTGGGAAAAAGCCTGGTGACTTCTTTTAGATTAAATATGCATTAATCCTATGACCCGGCAGTTTCCCTTTTGAGTATTTCCCCATGAGAAAGAAAAACATTTGTCCAAAAAAGACTTATACAAGAATTTCATAGTAGTTCCATTCATGGAAGCACAAAATTAAGGAGAAAAAACTCAATGTCCGTTGACAAGAGAATGAAAAAACTCAATGCCCATTGCTATATTCTTAAAATGAAATGCTATTCAGCAATAAAAAAGAACCAACTTCTAATACATATGAAGGGACCCAAAAAAACTGGAATTATTTTTTTGGAAGGCAGGCCCCTTGTAGTACAGGCTTCCCCTGCTACTTAAGTGTTCTAAGAACCCATCAGCATCAGTGTACTAGATAGCATTGTTGTGAGAGGCTGCGTTTGGTTTCAGTGAATTGTTTTTGGAGATTCTTTCAGCACGTTTGCCTGGTTCATGGTGGGTGATTTACAAGCACACCTGCCCATACCACGCTGAGTGCTCAGGAGTTTTTGGCCAAAATGACATGACCCCCTTGTCCCACCCTCACTATTCACCCTATCTTGCCCCGAGTGAGTCTTTTTTGTTTCCCTGGATGAAAAAGTCCTCAAAGGAAAACATTTTGCTGATGTGGAAGAGGTGAAACAAAAAACATCATAAGCACTAAAAGGCATCAAAGTTGATCAGCTGAAAAACTGTGTTGAGTAGTGGAAAGGGCGCCTCGATTGGTGTATCGTATCAATGGAGAGTACTTGTAAGGTGACTGAAATTTCAACATGTAAGAATGAATACACAATTTTTACAAATAATTCTGTTTTTTGGGGGGGTGACCCCCCCACCTTGTACAATAACATGAATAAATCTCAAAAACATTATGCGGAATTAAAGAAACTTTACACAAAAAAGGATATTCCGTTTGGTTCCATTTATATAAAGTTTTAGGATACGAAAAACTAATTGTTGATAAAAAAAATCTAAACAGGTTACTTATGGAGTGGGTTGGCAGTAGGGATGACTGGGAAAGGGTTCAAAGGAAGTTTTGGGGTTGAAGAAAATGTTCCCTGTTTGATAGGGATCTGAGTTACAAGAGTGTATGCATTTGTAAAATCTCTTTGAATGGTGCACCAAAGATTTGTGCATTTCATTATATGTAAATTTTACCTGTAAAAAAATTAAACTATATAATATTCTAGTTAATGACACACATGCTGAATTATTTGGGAATGAAACGTACTGATGTTTGCAACTAGCGTTGCAATGCATACAAAAGTATTTTGGACTGATAGATGGATAAATGAGATAATTCATGGACAGATGGATGAATGTCTGACAAAGCCAATATCAAAATGTTAATCCTGGAGTCTAGGTTGTAGATGTATGAATGTTCACTGCACAGTATTTTCAACTTTATGTATTTTTGGAAATTTCTGTAATAAATTATTGAGGGTAGTATAAATAACCCAATGGAGTTATAAAATATTTAGAAAGATAATCTCATACAATTGAGAGAATAGGAGATGGGACCAGCAAGGACATTTTGGAAGCTGGAAAGTAAATGAATGAGGAATAGTTGATTTAGCAGACCTGAGACATTGGAATCCGAACCCAGGGCATGGGGGAAGTTGGCAGACAAATTCCTAGATAGTCAAAAGGCCCATGAACCTGAAGCATCAGATACCTTTGGAATTAGGAATGGGAGTAGCAGTAGGGGGTAGAATAAGGAGGGGTAGATGAAAGCTATTTGAGAGACAGATGTGCCCTCAGATCTCTTTCCCAAGAGCGTACTACTCTGGGATTGTTCCCACATCCCAGAAGTCAGGAGGATTAATCTCTGGAGATGGTGAAATAAATAGAGGGTCTTTTGCTTGGCAAAAACGGGAAGATAGCATACCCAGTGCTGAATATTGAGGAACCATTCCTTCCAGCTTCCTTTTTTTTTTTTTTTTTTTTGAGTTGGAGTCTCACTCTGTCAGCCAGGCTGGAGCGTAGTGGCCAATCCTGGCCACCGCAGCCTCGACCTGCTGGGCTCCGGCGATCCTTCCGCCTCAGCCTTCCGAGTAGCTGGAACTACAGGCGCGCGCTACCATGCCCGGCTGATTTTTTGATTTATTGTGGAGATCAGGTCTTGCCTGCCCAGGCGGGTCTTGAATCCGCGGGCTCAGGCAATCCACTCACCTCAGCCTCCCAAAGTCGCGGGATTACAGGCTGAGCCACTGAGCCCAGCTCCAGTCTGGTCTTGAACTCCCGGGCACCAGTTATAATCCTACCTCAGTCTCCAGAGTAGCTGGGATTCCAGGTGCGTGCCAACATGTCCAGCTGATTTGTTTTCTTTCTTTCTTTCTTTTTTTTTTTTTTTTTGAGTTGGAGTCTCACTCTGTTGCCTGGGAGTGTGCAGTGGGACCACACCTGGCCACCGCAACCTTGACCTGCTGGGCTCCGCTGATCCATCTGCCTCAGCCTTCCAAGTAGCCGGAACTACAGGTGCACGCTACCACACCCGGCTAATTTTTGATTTATTGTAGAGATGAGGTCTCACCATGTTGCCCAGGCTAGTCTCAAACCTGTGGGCTCAGGCAATCCTCTCACCCTGCCTCCCAAAGTGCTGGGGTTATGGGCTTGAGCCACCGCGCCCAGCCTTGTTTTCTTGAGTAAGAGAAAAAGCAGTGGAATGGGTTCTGGTGCTAGAGATATCCCTAAAGTTGGACATACTTTAGAGATATGTCACACTATTTTATAGCAAAGTTACCTTTGTCTAGAGAGGAAGAAGAGATTGAGAAATTATTGAATAGATTGGTTCAGGGGTTGTGAGCATTTCAAGGGTTTGTTGGAATGAAAAGGTTAAATATTTTATCCTACCACTATACTGTAAATGGTATCAGCTCCAGTGCCCAGGTTTTTGTTTTGGACTCCTAGTTATTTGACTCATAGTTGTAAATATAGCTGTTATTCTAATATATTTTTAATAGCTCAGAACTCAGAACTTCAAGGAAAGGCAAATGAGATTGAGAAAGCATTTCAGACTTCCCAGCACAAATGGAAAGAAGAATGCAGAAGATTTGAGCATGATTTGGAGGAAAGAGACAATGTGATTCAAAATTGTAATCGAGAATATGATTTACTTATGAAGGAAAAAAGCAGGCTAGAGGAAACTCTACAGGTAAAGCATTTTTATAAAGGGATTTCTCAACATATGATATACGTTGATCCGTGTTGTCCATTAGTTGAAGTTATCCTTGGACTTCCTTCTTCTTCCTTCTTCCCTCTCTTCTTTCCCTTTTGGGGCATTTTCGCTGGTCTCTTTTATAACATGCTTTAGCAAAATGTTAATATGTATACTTTTTTGTGAAAAACAGTTTGAAATCTCTGATTAAAAAAACCACTTATATGGGCATATTATAAGAAGGTTGGAACCTATATACCTTTTGGCCTAGGAGCATGAAAATTTGGAACTTTAGATATATGTTCCCTAGATTTTGGTCTGAAAATACAATAAGTATAGAAAAATATTTGTATGTTTGATATAGGCTTCATTATCTATGTAGAGCATGTTTAGTATAGACATATGATGTGTAAAATAATTAACTTTCACTAAAATTGATGTGAGCTATTTATTCCCCCATTTTTAAAATTCCTTTTATATACCCTAGTGCAAAAGTGTGGTTTAAGACTGAAGTTGCCAGTGACTTAGAGAGTTGATTTTGAATTGTCTGCATTTGCCTTTTTTTTTTTTTTTTTTTTTTTTTTGGTT